TTATTTGTTTCCCCCCTAAACCACAGTCAAGGGGTCTACAAAAGGAAGGCTGTCTCATAAGACAAAGGGTTGGATTTTGAAGGAGAGATAGAGAGAAAAAGAAAAACAGAGAGTTTTTGTTGAGCAGAAAAACAATATTCTGTGCAACCTTGACTCATTTTCAAAACAAAAAAACTGTTCTTGTTCAAAACAGAAATCCAACCCATTGCTCCACCATACAAACTTTCCTTTAAACCAAACAACTCACCACATACAAAGGTGGTCCAAAACATCACAAAAAAACAGCTCCTGTGTTGCTACTCACCTTCATCATCAAAATACCAAAAAATATTACAGTACAGTCCAACTCAGTTCTAGCAGTCCAGAGCAACTTCCTGAAGACTCATAAGGTTATCACATCACTTGGAAAAGCATTCAGATCTAAAACAACCAGTGCAGCCCAAAGGTAAGTCCTCTTGACTTGATATCTTGTCATTACATCATTAATAAACTATTGTTCTTTGAAAACAAGATGTAGTACTTTACTATCCTGTTGAACTAGTCATCTGCACTTTGTTTAGGCTCATTCAATCATTTGTTGTTCATGTTTATCCATCATATGCCATAAGCTAACCTGTACGTTGAGTAAAATAATGTTTAAGGCAGGAAATTGAAGCATGTATCGACACATATCATCATGTGTCGACTCATCCTAGTAAAAAAACAGGGTATGAGTCGACACATAACCCCCATGCATCGACTCATACTGATTGCAGGTTATAAAACAGAAGTGGGAAAGGACTATGAGTCGACACATACGTATTTCGCGTCGATGCAAAAAGGTGCATGAGTCGACACATCCCATTATGTGTCGACACATACTGAATAGATTTCACTTTACAGAAGCTGTAAGAGCCTATGAGTCGATACATACGCATTTCGCGTTGATACAAGAAGGTGCATGAGTCGACACATCCCCTTATGTGTCGACCCATACTGAACTGATTTTGTTTTACAGGAGCAAGGAAAAGCTATGTGTTGATGCATAGCAGCATGGGTCGACACATAGCAGTCCAAATGCAGTTTTTTCTTTTATTTTACACTGTTTTTATATTATTTTCATTATCATTCGATATGGTTGTAACATTTCAGTCTCCACTTCATCCCCATTGTAAATTTGTACCCCCATCCCCCTAAAGTGATGTAATAGCTTAGGATTTATTTTCCGCATGTTTATTTGCTTTCATATATTGTTAGTAATTAGGATGTATGGCAAGATAAAATCAGCAAATAGACAAACTTAAAAATCAAAGACAAATGCATGCAAACTAACACACTCGCACACTAACACCTCTAGGGCAACCTCACTTTGTCGCCTTTCGGAAAATAGTCATGTCCCTCGAGCATGAGCGTTTTAGCAAAGACCCTTCGATAAGAGATCGTAGTCCCTCGATGACCCTCGATGTTGCCTTTGGTAATACGATTTAATCCCTAAACGACATTGCTAAAACGACTCATAAGTTGCTTTCTATGACTATACAAACGTCCCAACGCCCGTCCCTTCACATCCAACGATGGGACTTCTTACCAAATCAATGGTAAGATAACAACATCTAAAGGAGGAGGAAAAACACATTTAAGACCTTTCGAATAGGTAGGTTCGCTCTCAGTTACTCGCTTGCTCACGACAAAAACATTTTTATACACCCACACTCTCACCGTTGAACTATTTTCGAAACAAACACTTTGTAGGCGTTCTTATAGAAACAAGAACCATTATGAAGTTCCATTTTCAAAATACTTTCAAAAACACATCTCACAAACAGACTTTTGAACTATTTTCGAAACAAACACTTTGTAGGCGTTCTCATAGAAATGAGAACCATTACGAAGTTCCATTTTCAAAATACTTTCAAAAATCACCATCACAAGCACACATTCAAACAAAAGCAAGTGATCTAGCAAGTAACTAAGAGCCCATGGAAAACCATGGATGAAAAGGGTGCTAATACCTTCCCTTTCCATAATCTACCCCCCGAACTCAAAAACATCTCTAAAGGTCTTTCCTGTGCTTTTTCACCTTTCCTTTTTGGATAAAAGAAAAGTCGGTGGCGACTCTTGCTAAACCACAACATTTTCGAACACAAACGCAAAACCTCAAGCCAGTTCTCCCACCGTATCACAGTAAGTATGGGTATGCAGCTGAAAGAAGGTGTCTGGGAGGGACAGATGACCAGAGAAAATGGTTCTTCTAGTGGTGTGAAGGTTTGAAGACGTTTGGAAGTAATTTTATGAAGAAAAAAGATCAAGAGGTCGGTGTTGTTTTACATGGAAGACCAAGAAGAAGAAATGATTATCAACCATAGCACATTGTAGTTGTTACTCCAGTTATCCACTCAGTTCTAACCTATCAGCCACAAATTGCTTAGCAACAACAATTTCTGCAACAACAACCAATACAACAGCAACAACCTCGTCACCAGGCTCCCTAACAATATAAGCAACAAAGCAGAATGCAGAGATCACCTATGTTCAATCCAATCCCTATGACATATGTTGAATTATTGCCTTCCCTTTTACAGAAGAATTTGGTTCAGACAATGTCACCACCAACTATTTCGAAGGATCTCCCACCATGGTACAAGGCTGATGCCTACCGTGCCTTCCACCGAGGAGCGCCTGATCATAGCATCAAAAATTGTTATCTGTTGAAGATTGAATTTCAGAAGTTAGTGAAAAGTGGCTTCTTATCTTTCAAAGATACTAATCCAAATGCCCAAGTAAATCCTTTATCCAGGAATGGGGCAGCTTCTGTAAACATGGTATATAGATGTCCTGGCGAGTACCATATCTTTGATGCATATTTAATGAGAGGAGATCTGGTACAAATGTACGATACTTTGTGTGAAATGGGTAATTTAGAACAACATAACTATGCTTCTATTACAACAACTATTATACTCTCAAAATGCCACAAAGTGTATCGAAGAAATCTGAATAAATCAAATTAAGAAAATGTAACATAGATTGAGTGAAGGAAACTATGTCCCAAGAGGAAGAAAGTTCTGATGTATCATCTGCTGCAACACGAATTCTGTAAAGTAAATATATAAAATCAAAATTCAGATTAAAATCCGATAGTTTCTTTTAATGCTGTGAATTCATTTCAGCAACCAATCTGGTAAAGCAAGGAAATCATATCAGTGTTACATAAGAATAGCATAATAATAAACATTTTATATAAAATAGTTAGATCCTATGCCGACAAAGTAACCTAAAAATTACACAAAAATCTCACAGATGCACAAAGAAGGGGCAAGGCAATTCAATTATTCATAGAGAAATTTAATTACGGTTAAAATAACGATTAGAATAAAAAAACAATCGTAAACTGTCAAAAGCTAGTTTTTATACCTGGAATCGATCTCAAGATTTTTTCCCCTCCAAATAGATGCAAACCAATAATATTATTCTCTTGAGACTGAACATCTAAATCATTGGGATTTGAAATTGTAGCTTGAGAAACTCCGGTGATAGGACTCAAAATCTCAATGTGCAGTTTTTATTAACGTAGCACTTTATTTTTAATAACAAATATTGAAAACAAAACTCATTCCAAAAATCAAGTATAAATCATAGAGTAGTTTACCTGTCAATTCTTCCTTGCTACAATTAACAATTGCAATACCATAAAAACATAAGAAAATAATAAGAACTCTAAACCATTGCACAAATTACACATTCTGGCGATTCGACTTGTTCCCAACTATTTGAATCACGTTTTCATTTGTTTGTGGGTTTGATGATGTTTTGAAGAAGAAATAGATAGGCAACTTCTCATCTCTACGTGACTTTTGGTCACTATATGAATTGAGTGGAATGTTAAATTTAATATCAATAGGTATGTTGTTTTCATTTTCCCGTGTGACTTTCCATTACTCAAGTAATTGGAATTATGTTTCCCACACAAATCTAATACGAAATGCATATAATTGAATTAATAGTGTAATTAGACATTTTCACCCTAAAAACAGAAAAGCTTTAACGTAAATTCAGAAGGGTATACATGGCTTTTCCAAATACTTTAACTTTTATATATTTATAATGGTGTATTCATGAATCTTAAATGGGCTAACATGAACATATCAATATGCAGGCTCAAGAAACCTTCTCATAGTCCAAGTATTTTATGAGGAAGTATCGGTCTTAATCAACATAAATGGGATAACATGAACAACTCAAAGATCAACACATTCAATTGATATTTAGTACACTCCAATACTTTGACATAACTTTAAAAACATACTGTATTAACGATAATAAATGGTCGATTTTAGACAAAGAAACACAAAACTTAATTCTTTTAATTACTTATAGCAAGATAAAGAAACACGAACCATAATAAATAATAAATTAATTATAAACAATTTTAAATTTAAAAAATTATATATACACAGATAATCATCGAGCAAAATATAAACACATTTTTAATGACATTATTATAGGTAAATTACATTTACTCAAAGTAAAATAGTACATAATGTAAAAAATAATAAGAAGTCTTTTTCATTTTCTTATTATGTGAAACCTACAAAATTTTAAAGTGTAAGTTATAAGGTATTGTTGGTATTTAGATCTTTGTGTGAGCACTCATAATTTTATTTAAAAAAATATATTTTTGGATTGATGAATGTGAAAGGTGTATTTGGTTTTGACTATCAAATATTATGGAACAATTGGTGCATCAAAATAAAAAGAAATATAAGGAATGACCAATTTATAAGTTATAACAAAGCCTTTAATTTACTGCATAGAGAAAGGAAAGGAGCAAATAAGAAAGAAGAAAAAAATCGAAAGTAGGGTCCATTCTTTTTGGTCCTATAAATCAAGAAGGTTGAGTACAAAGTAAAGTCCTTCTCTGTCTCTGTCTCTACCTCCATAAAACGCACCATTCTACTTCACATCATATACACACAGAAACTTGTACCCACTACCTTTTCTCATTCCTCAATTTCAACACAATGGTTGACGTAGACCGGAGAATGACCGGTTTAAACCCGGCTCACATAGCCGGTCTAAGACGTTTATCAGCCCGAGCCGCTTCTTCTTCCTCCTCATCCTCCTCTTTCCCGGAACGTAACGGTTTGTTCTCATTTTCTTCGGTCGTTGATAAGGTCATAACACAGCTCCATAACTCAGGCGTAGAAGTTGAACCTGGTCTCTCCGACGCTGAGTTCGCCCGTGCAGAGGCAGAGTTCGGTTTCGTTTTTCCGCCGGACCTCCGTGCGATTCTCGCCGCCGGTATGCCTGTCGGGCCTGGATTTCCTGACTGGCGATCAAATCCCGCTCGCCTCCGTCTCCGCGCCTCGTTAGACCTTCCGATCGCAGCTATTTGTTTTCAGATTGCGAAGAACGCTTTCTGGTCGAAATCTTGGGGATTAAGACCGTCAGAGCCGGAAAAAGCATTGCGAGTTGCGAGAAACGCTTTGAAGAAAGCTCCGTTACTGATACCTATTTTCAACCATTGTTACATTCCTTCAAATCCATCACTCGCCGGGAATCCGATTTTCTACGTCGACGAGAATAGGATCTTCTGTTGCGGTTTTGATCTCTCTGATTTCTTTCAACGGGAGTCTCTCTTTCGAAGCACTGAATCTGATCCGAAGATTCTCATGAAACAGCGATCTGTTAGCGAGAAATCCGCGGGTTCTTCAACGGCTTTCTCACGGAGGAGCCTCGACGGAGGGAGGATGCCAAGGTGGGTGGAGTTCTGGACAGAAGCCGCCACAGATCGTCGCCGGAGAAACTCTCTGTCATCAGTATCATCTTCGCCGGAGCGGTTTTTTGATATTCAACCACGGTCTGAAATTCCGGGTTGGGTGGATGAGTATATAGAAAAAATCGGGTCGGTTTTGAGAGGAGGTGGGTGGAGCGAACCGGATATAACCGAAATGGTTCAAGTTTCGGCTTGTGGATTTTTTGATGGGGAAATGGTGATGTTGGATAGTCAAGCGGTGTTGGATGCTTTGTTATTGAAAACGGATCGGTTTTCTGATTCGCTTCGGAAAGCTGGGTGGAGCTCCGAAGAGGTAACTGAGGCTTTGGGATTTGATTTTCGACCGGAAAAGGAAAAGAAACCGGTAAAGAAGCTATCGCCGGAACTTGTGGAAAGAATTGAGAAACTAGCTCAGTCAGTTTCCCGGTCATGAACAAATTTTGTTTTTTATTTTAATTTTTAAGATATCAGGTTTTGCTTTTTGCCTCTTTTGGGTTAAAAACAACAAGGAATTTGAGAAAGGCGTTGTAATAGGAAACAAAGTGCACAAATAGTTTGAAAAGGTTCAAGGTTAAATTTTACATTTTTATGACCACTTATTATCCCTTTTATATACTACAAAATCATAGTAAATTTATAATAAATTATCTTATTGCTGATTGATGTTTATGTTAGAAATTAGTCGTGCGAGTTTGACAATTCAAATTGCACTGCTATCAATTAATTGAGCTGGTGTAACTAGTTTATTTCAATTATTTTATGATGAACTGTATAAGCGATATGGCTCTACTTTTTAAGTGACTAGGTGCACGTGTGTAAACATTTTTAATTGAAACTTGAAAGGTGAGCCTCCAATGAGGGCTCAGAACTAAGGGCTGGTGTAGGACAGCACAACACAGCACAGCATCGTATTATTATCATATTAAGCCAGAGTAGAAAATGCAGTTGTCGTCGTTTTGCTACCAGCTAAACAGATTGCAAGTGTCGTTTAGCACCGGTTGATAGAAAGGAATGAGAAAATGAAAAGCGCACGACATGAGTGTTCGTTTGTAGAAAAAGGAAAGGAAAAACAAAGATTCTTTTCAGTATAATTTCAATTTTCAATAGCATATGGCAGTGATACGTGATTTTTTCAACTTATTATATGAAGATCGATTCATTGGAATTTGGAAAAGGATAGTAGGATATGCATGCGATCCGTGTATGGGTTTGCAGGTAGCAGCTAAAACTCACACAAAATAATGCCTTTGGCATGTGGTAACTTTGGTGCCTTAAGTGCATATTTCATGAAAAATGAATAAAAAAATATTAAAATGAGAGAGAAAGGATATGTTCGAGAGATGAAGACACAAAAGTATCAAAGTTATCGAGCTTCAAAGTTAGGAATCCTTCTCCAAAATAATGCTAGTAGTATAGTAGTATAGAATAAACGGACATTTTATTTTGTCTAAACTATCAATGTCTTAAATTATAAAATAATTAAACGGTCTTTTATTAAAATCCAAAATAGGAATCGGTTAACTTGTTTCACAAGTTAATTAATTAAGTTACTCACTCTAATTTCATATCTAAATACAAATGAAAAAAAGTTCAATCTTTCAAAAAAAAAAATCTAAATGCATTTAAGTCACACATTTTTTATCTAACGGTCGTCTGATGTCATATTAACGTGTGATAGTGATGAGGCGTATCTTATCACATTTCTTCTCTTTTCTTACCATAATAATTCTTATGGAGAAATTACTGCTATCATGACCCTAATTCAATAGGATCTTTTCAAACGTTTTTGTAAAACCTCAGTGTTCTCTATTCGTTTTTTTATCATTTCCGCTCTTTCTTTTTCCTACTTCTCCAAGATTGTTCTCAATGTTCCTTTGCTCCCCCTCCAGTTGCTCCCCTTCCCATATTTCAGGTAATATCATTTTACTCTACTTATTTTCTGCTTAACTTTAATAATGGTTCTCATTCAAGAGTGTGATGATTCAGGAAACATATCGATTCTTTGAAATCCCTGAGAGAAGTAAACTTTGGGATGAGTGTATGCAAGAATGTAAGGATCATTTGGGGCAATGGAAATTTGATCAGATCATTAAATTATGGCAGTATTTTTTCACCTTGCAGTGAAACTGACTCAAAATCTTCATCATCAGATTCCGTGGAAATCGTGATGGAGATATTGGTTCTTTTGTTGATCAAGAAGTCTTAAACTATGATCAAAGCACGACCGATACCGAGGACATTCTCAAACTCTAGCCTAGTAGGCAAATTTCCTCTACTGGAAATAAAGATGATGTTATACTAGAACCTTGTATCCCTGGTGAAAGGGTCTGTATGATCCGACCAAAGGGAGATTCATATGTATATTTTTGTTTTTACTCTGGGATGATCAAAGATTTCAAAATCCATATTCTCTTATAGACTTTAAGTCTGATCTCCTCAAAACCCTGAATATTGCCCCCGCTCAACTACACCATAATATATGGGGCTTTATAAAAGCCTTTGAGATTGTTTGTGAGGCGATGAATATAGTCTCCACTTTAGGTATGTTATTTTGTTTCTTTGAGCTAAACGAGGCGGATAAAGGAGGTTGGGTTTCTCTTAATGGAATTCCAGGAAGAAATATTTTCCAGGCTTATACTACAAATTGCAAAGGTTTCAAAGATAAATTCCTCGGGGTGAAGAATGGGCATAGATGCTCTAAAGTCATATATGCGTTGAATGGGAGCCACCGCTTTCCTATTTACTGGTCAGATAACTCGTTGTCGATGTCTGAATTTGACTATGACAAACTAGACACTTTAGAGGTCCATGCTCTAGCCATTTTAGATGCCTTTCAGACGGTAAAGGTCCGAGACATAATAAGCATGACCGAAGATCCATAACAACTTTCTTATTTCTTGGGTAATACCCTTTACTACTCTCTAACGATTTCTTTTTTGGCTAAATTTCTGAAATCTTTCCTTATTTCTTATTCAACTAAAATGACAAGCATGAAGTGGAAGGAACATAAGAAGTTGATGCTGAAGCAAGGGCAAGACGGGGGTAATAATCTGCCTCTAAGACCGATTTGTCTAGCATTCAAACATGAGCCCTCAAGAGAAAAAAGTAGATGGGGGAAAGGAAACCCCGTGCGTATCAGAGCCTCAAGGCGTCCCCATTCCCCATCCTAGAGGATTAAAACCGAGTTCCCCAAAGAAGATGAAGATCACCTTGATGAGCGATCCAATAAGTCAGGCCGATTTGGAAATCACCACTTTGATACAAGACACCAGCGATAGTCAGAATACCAAATTGTCCATTGAATTCAAATTTTGGTCTAAAAACTTCGATGACGTGCAATTTCTTTATGACAAAGGATGTTGAGAAGGTAAAAACTATAAGTGCTCAACAACTGGCCCAAAACATTGAGGCCTACTTGATGCGACGTGCTATTATGACTTGTTGATTGTTTGAAGTTGGTGATGCTTATGAACATAATGAAGTCCTCCTTACCAAGGAGGTAAGCCAGCTGGAGGAGGCCTTGAAGGTTCATACCGACAAGATGGAGGAAGTGAGCAAACGATTATATAAAGTGAAAAAGCAAAAAGTGGACTCAGAGTCCAAATGCTCGGATTTGGAAATAATCATAGCCAGCTTGATCCAAGACGTTGAAAAGGCTCGGGAATCTAATGAAAAGTTGACAAAATTTTAGCAGGATGCCCAAGTGGATAATTTATCCGCTAGCGATGAAGCGTTTGAGAGAGCTAAAGCGCAAGCATTATGCCTCCAGCCCGACCTCAACGTGTCCTAGATGGACTACTTTAAGACTGTGGTGGATGACCGGCTAGTGGATATGGAAGAGACATATCCAGAAGTCAAGACCTCTAAGGGCAATATGATCAATGATCAAGCTATTGTTGTCCAGGAGGAGGAGCAACTCGACGCGTAAATTTGTTTACTTTGATCGTTAGTCATTAATGGTGATGCGCTTTTGTAATTTTTGGACAATTTATTTTTTTCCTTGTTTGATTATAATGTTTTGAGCGCCTCTGAGGCTAAGTATAATTCTCTAAGCCCTTCTAAGGCCTTTTAAATATACTTATGTTGTTGTGTATGCACTTTTTACTGTTAGTCTCTGATCGTATGTATATTTTTGGGTGCATCTCAGATGACTAAGGCTTATATATATGTGATATGCACCCGGACGCGCGCCAGAATACTGATCTGGTTCTTCTAACTAGGTCACAATTTTATAGTGAATTAATTGGATCGCCAAAGGTTTACTTGAACTTGGACTTTTTGTTTGGTCAGAGGTTCTTGTTTACATGACCGATTTTCCAGAGGCGTAAAGTATCTTGGACTTGGTCAGAGGTTCTTATTTACATGATTGATTTTCTAGAGGCGTCAAATTACTTGGACTTTGTCAAAGGTTCTTATTTACATGACCGATTTTCCAAAGACGTCAAGTAGCTTGGACTTGGTCAGAGGTTCTTATTTACATGACCGATTTAGTCAGATCAACAATGCCGAGTTTGCTTATATCTCTTGGGATGAGTCATGTTTGTTTCTTGTAAAAAAATAACACATATGGATATGAACCGAGGGTGCCTCCTTAAAATCCTTTGCCCTTTTAAGGGAAAAGAGTGCTACCCACAATTTTTAGTTAACAAGATCATTACACAGCTTAACTATAATAAAATTTTAGGTTGGCAACATTCCAAACCCTCGATATTTTAACTCCTTCCAAAGTTTCGAGTTTATAAGCTCTATTGTTCAACTTCTTTTGGATTCTGTAAGGTCTTTCCCAATTTGAGGTGTGTCTGTAACTCTCTTCAAAACCAAGTTTCCATCTTGAAAGCTTCTCAGACAAATTCTAGTGTTGAACCTTCTGGTCATTCTCTATTTTATTGTGAACTGTCTAATGTGAGCCATTGCTCTGATATCCTCTACAAGGTCGACTGATTTGTCTAGTCCCTCTCGATTGAGATTATCACCAAAATTTACTCGATGCCAAGTTGGCGAGTTAACCTCCACCGGTATCATTGCATCGGTCTCATACATCATTCAAAAAGGAGTCTCCTTGGAAGTTGAGTGATGGGTAGTCAGATAAGACCATAAAATCTCGTGCAAAATGATCTTATATTTTTCTTCATTCATAACAAGATGATCTTATTTACTGCCTCTACTGGGCCATTAGCCCGGGGATGTTCCACCGAAATGAATTGGTTTGTATGTCGAGGTGCCTGCAAAATTCTACAATCAGCGAGCTCGCTGTAGTGGTAGAAATGTTGAGACTAAGCCATTAGATTGACTTGACTCGCACAGATCGAATAAAAATCGCCACCGCTCTTTATTGTTTCAAAGGAATGGGAAAATAGAGAATAACCCAAAAAGAGGGGGAGAGAATCTAAGTTAGGGGGTTGGTTATGCAAAGGGAAGATATTAGCACCATAA